TGTTCAGTTAGTTACAATGTGCAACTTCACCACTAAAAGCCACTATATCCTACACACTGATCCTTATTGATTACTGTTGATCCCAGGGAGTTTTCTGATTTGCAGTACAGGACTTAGAGTAATCTGATACGCAATACAAATGAAAAAATGAGAACATTGAATGACCAAGAAGGGCCTTATCTTTTGCTATGATAGATTTGTTTGTCATATCTCCCTACAGCCAGAAACTCAAAACAGAGTTTGTTCCCTTATCTGTCATTTTGCACCAATGTCCGCCTCCACTGAGAGTCATTTGGAAAAAGATCAAAGTGTTGGCTGTGATAAAATCTCAGAAGAATTTCTGGTTATGCGTGCGTGTCTTGTGCTTCTGAACTGTGCAGAATTGCATTATGTGAATCAACAAAGCCAGTTTCCACATTTGTTGACTGTGAGGGGGAGTTGTGATTTGGTGTCCAACATTTTTAACTCTCTGGACTTGGAAGCATGAATGGATTTCCCCTGCAGCCCAAAGCAACACAGCCAACAGTCTGATCTGCAAAAAAGAAAAGGAAAATTGTGGATTCCTAGCATATCATTTTATTTAAGCAAATTTAATTCCACACCTGAGAGGTGAAACACATACTGTAACAGGAGATACTAAAAACAGGAACGCTTTAAATTACTCAGTTTGTGTATGTGTGTGTGTGTGTGTGTACACTCTTTGTCTTTCTCCACACAGAGTCAGCTTGCTACATCTGCTGAGCCGAGAAGACAAAGCACCATCATCAATCATGAGCCTTGTTCAAATGTGTAACAACAGTGCCACAAAATTAAGAATGCATTCTTCATGTGCCACATTTTTACTTCCCCTAGTCATAATTCAAACCTCCATTAAATGAACACAAATGGAGCATAAATGGGTGTCCGAGTCTGTAAACTTTGTTGGCTCAGCAGGGCAAGACTGAGGCTGGCAGTCAGTCAGAGCGACTATAAGTCAAAGAAAGTAAATAAGACTTTAGGCTTGCTGGTGGATGGAAAGAGCATAAGAGAGAGGAAAAAGAGAGAGAAAGAAAAATAGAGCAGATGCAGAAAAGAGAGAGGTGGTAAACCCATTGGCAACTAGAGTATTCAAAATGTCTCACAGAGTCAGAGGGAGCTGACCTTACAGCACCTGCAGATGACCTTATCCTCAGAACAGAGATAACGTAAACTAGACGATTCAAGATGATAAAGAAGAAAAAAAAAGAGAGTGTTTGAATGCATTCCACAACTTTAAAATTCTGCTCAGTTCTTCTTCCTCTAACAGGTCTCCAGTTACAACTGTATAGCAGAGATACTGTCTTCTTACACACCCTCAAGCATATGAGGATCTGTAAATCTTTTTATGCTAATTACCCGACTCGAATAAAGCACTGACACTATATATGTGTGAGTGTACATGCACTAAAAATTACCGTGCACATGCATTTTCTATGCGTTTGTCCGAGGGCATGTAAGTATTCTGTTTGACCGTATCAGTGTGGAGCAGATTCCATGCCTATTGCAGCCTATCTGCTTATGAGCTGTATTCCCTTCTGTCTGATGTGCTGCATGGCTGCCAAGTGGGATTACGGGAGAGAACAGCAAAGTATGAGGTGTTTATCCTGTCCGTGCCAGGATGGAATTGTACAGCATAGCACAGCATAGCACAGCATAGACGACAGCAGCACAATGCAGTGTGCAGGGAATGTGTTAGTCCTGGAGTTTGTTGCTGACAGTTAATGTTATTTTATGTGCTTGACAAATTAAAGTTAAGTTTTTAAACAAAATTGGCTTATTCAGATATTCATGATGGCATTTTTTCAAAGTTACTTTTTGCTTTTTTGAAGATCTTTAAAAAAACAAAAAAAACAACAAGATGTTCATGGACAATGTCTATTAGAAATGTGTCCTTGAAGACTAGTGGGCTGGATCTGTGTCATCAACAAGACAAGTCTTAAATTGAAAATTTACCACCAGGACTAGAACCATCACACAGCCACCAACGTGATAAATGGTAATGAAAAACTTGGGAAAGTTGGATGATATGATTTACTAAATCAGTTACCATCATGTACCTTGTAAATATAACCAAGTCTCCTGATTTATGATGACAAACACCTGAATGCACCATAAAACAACTGGACTGGGGGGAAAGGAGACACAGTTGGTGTCCTCCAAATCTTCTGCAAAAGGCTGCAGTGACGAGCTTGTTGACCCATCACAATATATTTTCTCCTGAACATCAGACATGGTACATAAATTATCATGGATCAGGATGTCTGTAGACACTACTTGCTTCTTATGGGAAGAAGGGCTTAAAAGAATAAAGAACGAGCTAGAGAACTAATGAATTAGTCTAGGGAATTATTTTCAGAGATGCTTCCCATCTAGAAAGCTTAAGCACTTGTACACACAGCTTTCAGTGTCTCCAGTCTGACTTTGAACCACATAATTCAAAGCTCATTTTGCCTAAATACAAAAAGACATTTTAAGTTCTCATTCTAAGGCAATTCTGTTGTTAAGTGTCCTCCCTAACAATGTGGGGGCCTCTTTTCAAACAATAATTTCACAGAGACAAAAAAATATATAAATATATAAATATTGAAGACTTTTATCTCACAAATAGGTATTTGGACTCTAAAAGTATACATACAAATATGACAGATGTGTTTTAGTTAGAAGGATATGCACTTTGAGGTAGGTTAGCAAAACCTTTTGTGAATGTTAGAAAAGGGAACACTAAAAGCAGTAATTCTTTTGAAAATAACTGATTTTAATCACAAAACTTTGCTGTTATGCTGATGTGAGGAGGCCATTGAAAGAGCAGCAAGGAATATTGCAGCAAGGTGGCTGATATTCAACAGCTCTCTTTATATACACTCAGGCACTAATTGGTGATTAGGAGCAGCTGTGGAGGCAGCAACAGATTAAGCCTGATTAGCAATGAATCACAGGTGTGCAGGATGAGAGAGCACACTGAGGACACCTATTGGACAGGTGAGCAATGAGACAGGCAGGGAAACCAGAAACATCATGGAAAAAGGAGGACGGAAAGGAGAAACAGCTGTGGCCACGACATATGAAACACACATGTAAACATGTAAGCAAACATAAAGAAACACAGCAGCAGCTCTGTTCCCCTGAGGTTATATACTCGGCAGCAGGTGCCCACGCCTGCAAGGTTGCCATCTCTGGTTTTATTCTGCCTGGAGCTATCACAAAACACTCCCCCTCCTCACTGCAGCTCTGCCCCATCATAACTGAAGTCAACTTGCACTGTGCCTCTGCAATCCTACATACACCCTGCAGAGCCATCAGCAGATGGATGCTTGTGTGTCATTTTAATCTAATTTCTGATATGCTTATTGATGCAACAAATTGATGGGACACTTTGTAGTAGACAGGAAAAAATTTAGTTTATTTCTTGCACAGTGTCGTGAGAATAGCAGCACATAGGTCTTTTGCTGTGTGTGTGTGTGTG